TGATGTATGGGGACCACTCAGCTCTTTTGCCCTGGTAATGCAGCCATAGACAATATATAAATGAATGGGCATGGCTGTGTTCCAATCAAACCTTATTTACAAAAACATGACTGGCCTGTGGGTCACAGTTGCTGAACCCTGTATTAAATAAAAGGTGCAAAGTTAAGAACTTGAAATATGAACTATAACAGAAGTATGAATGAAGTAATGAAAGCATCAAGAAATGAGTTCAAGCTTTGCCTGGGATATTTGGGAAAGACTTCATAGATAAGGTGATAATTTAAACTGAGTTTCTGTGGGTATTTAGGAGCTCTAAAGATTAACGTGAGAAAGTGTTCTATGGAATTCGTGAGAAGTTGTTTGGTTGATAGGTGGAGTTTTTTTGTTGTTGTTGGGAGTAAGGTAAGTTGGAGCCTTGGCAATGTGCTCAGTTGGTTGAGTGTCATGCACCAGGTCACGGGTTTGATTCTTGGTCAGGGCACATGCTTGGGTTACGAGCTTGATCCTGCAGGAGGCAGCTGATTGATGTTTCTCTCTTTCCCTCTCCCTTCGTCTCTCTCTAAGATCAATAAAAAAAATTTTTTTTTAAAGTGGTAAGTTGGGACCATGTTTTTGAAGAGGCTGGGTACTAATGCTGGTTTCTAATTCATTTTCTACTTTGAGTAAAAAATATTTCAACACCTACCTCTGTTAAACCTTGACATTTTGTTATATTCAAAAATTTTTGTATTTTTTAAAAGAAATGTTACAGATACAATTGAAACTGCCCTCAAACAATAGAGCATTCTCTTCAGAGATGGTAACATGAATTTGTTTGTTACTGTAATCTTACCTTCTTACATTAACTATATGCTCATATACCCCTAAACTAGTGATTTTCAACCTTTTTTTAAATCTCATGGCACATATAAACTACTAAAATTCTGCAGCATACCAAAATGTATATTTTTTGCTGACCTGGAAAAAATATAGATATAATTTTGATTCATTCACACCAGACAGCTATTGTTTTTTTTGGTGTTGTCATTTTTTTATTTGAAAATCTAAGGGAAAGGAGGTCAGTGCCTCTAAGTAGTCAGGTATTGCATGTTTTAAAAATTCCTGTGGTACACCAGTTGAAAATTGCTGGCCTAGCCCAACCGGGCGTGGCTCAGCGGTTGAGCATTGACCTGGGATCCAGGCGATCAGGGTTCGATTCCCAGTTAGGTCACATGCCCGGGTTGCGGGCTCATTGATGTTTCTATCTCTCTCTCCCCCTCTCCTTTCCTCTCTCTGAAATCAATAAAGATATATTTAAAAAAAGAAAAAGAAAAAGAAAGAAAATTGCTGGCCTAAACCATACAAATACTGTATTGTTCTGTATGCTTTAAAAGTTCATATAATGGTTTATGATGTTTTTTCAAGATTGTTTTTTGCTCAGAATTGTTTTTATTATTTCATCATATAGACCAGCTCTGGCCAATAGAAATATAAAGCAATGCACATATGTTATTTTAAATTTTCCAGTAGCTACATAAAAAGNATTTATGATGTTTTTTCAAGATTGTTTTTTGCTCAGAATTGTTTTTATTCATCATATAGACCAACTCTGGCCAATAGAAATACAAAGCAATGCACATATGTTATTTTAAATTTTCCAGTAGCTACATAAAAAGGTAAATAGAAACAGGTGAAGTTATAATATACTTTAATAATCCAGTATATCTATATCAAAAATAATTCAACTTACAATGAGTATACAAGATTATTAATGAGATAGTTTACATTCCTTTTTTAAACTAAGTCTTTGAAATCTGGCATTATTTTACACTTGTAGCACATCTCAATTAGAACTAGCCACATTTTAAGTGTTCAGTAGCCAGCCACAAGTGGTTAGTGGCATTTACTATACTGGACCGATAGTGAATTGCTGTGATTTAAGCAACTTACTTAAATTAACCTTTTTGATGCTTGAAGGTAGTATATACTCCTACCACCAGGGGTCAGCTAAGTGTCATCATGTTGACACAACAAGAGGAAATATTTTGTGTATTGGAATTTGCTAATCTGTAACTGCAATGCAAAAAACATTCTGTGTCTAATAAAGGAAATCTCTCCCAAGCACACTTACTGCTGGTAAAAGAGTCGGAGCACAAAGGGTGGTACAAATGTGACCCACAGCCTGTCCAGACTTATAAGGCTCTGTTCCATCCTTACAAATGTATCCTCTAGTAGCCAGAGGTGTTGCATTTGTACTAAATGTGCCATCTCCATATTTGGACCTTAATAATTAGGTAAATTCATTTGCTTGCCTATATTTGCAAAGAATCTCCAGCAGGCAACACTTGATTATTGAGCCACATATTACATGCCTCTTTTCCTGTTTTGGGTTTTTTTTTTTTAAGCCATTTCACCATAAGGGTCTATACTTAGATTTATAGCTCTCTTATTCTCCATAGAAATACCTTCATAGAAGTGTCCTAGACTTCATAAGGATCCATAGCAGAAACTGCTTTTCAGGGTGCCTTAGTTTCATATACATTATAATTACAGGGATGTTTCATTATACTGTTAATATCCCTTCTGTATAGACCCAATGAAAAGCAATCTAGCTAAGAACAAAGAATTAGGGGGAAATTCTCTCCATCTCTCCCATTCCTTGCTTAATTCTTAATCGTTTTTCAGTGATTTGTTTTAATGTGTATTCTTTTATATGCCCACGGAAATCCTTTTTGTCATAATACAAGTAATTGGCTTGATGACAGCCTTTTAATAGTTTTATACAGCGACTTTCTGCCACAAGGTGGGGGTAGTGAGTTCTGTGGCTCTGATTAGTTAGGGTGAATTTCATAATAGCAGCCATAAGTTAATTTCCTTCATAAACAAAATAATTGTTTATACCATTATTAACAAAACTTACCCTTTAGGTTAGCATGCTTTCTAATTTCTGAATGATTTTCCTTTTGTTTTAATGAATACCATAAAATTTACTTTTCTTGGTGTGTAGTTTTATGAATTTAGCATGTATAGATATGCATAATCCACTACCAACAGGATACAGAACAGTTCCATTATCTGTTAAAAAATTCTCATGTTTCTCTTTGTAGTGACACACTATCCCCACCCTTAACCCATGGTAACTGTTTACCAATCACTGGTTTTTTCTTCTTGAGAATGTCCTATAAATGGAATCAACAGTATATTTGTCACCTTTTGAAATTATTTTTTTCACCCAGAATAAAGCCATTGAGACTCATCTATGTTCTGCATGGTAATATTTTACATAGATGGATTAGCTATTCAGAAACTATTAGTGATTATTTTTATAAAGATTTAAGTCCCAATTTACTTTCAAATCCTTTTACTTCCATTATTTTGATTTAAGCAAAACAACTCTAAGCTGAAAACAACCGTTTGGGGAAAATGTATGTTTTTATTGGGCAAATGGGAACTGAAAAGAAACAGGGTAATTCTGGAGAGTATTTTGGGTAGGTCTGGTAGGGAGTGGAAAATGGGAGAAAGGCCTGGGTGGGGTGCCATAGTGACAAGTCCTTTATACAAGGGGTAGCACAGAGTTCTACAGCTAGGACTTTCTCACATTCAGATATTAAAATTTTATATATTTTTGTTAGATACCGATTATAGGTAGGACTGATGATATGCCCTCTTCATTAAAAATTTAAGTGTTCATGCACATGCACACACACATTGTGTATAATCTAGAATGAGGAGAAAGCATTCTATTTTATTTTAGTGAAAACTATTATGTGGCACCTTGGAATTAGTTAGTCTGTATCAAGGATTAAAGGATGTCTTACTAATCATAATAAGCCTATGTGTCAGAAATCATTTTTAACAAATTTTGGTTTATGCCATATTGTATATGTAAAATTCAACAGTGAAACAAACTAAATAAACTGTTATGGTTTTTATACAAATAACATGTTCCATATGTAAATATTAAGACTGAATGCCCCTGGGTAAAGTCCCATGTTACTATATTTGTAGACTGAATTTTCAAAAGCTCCATAGTCCTGATTGTTTTCTGTTTTAAAGTGGGAAACGCAAATGTTATCATCTAGGGCTTCTAGTAAACAGCCCTGCTGCTGTTTGGACCACACCATGATGTTTAAATACAAAAAGAAATTATACATGGGACTACATTTGGAAATTGGATTTTATTTGTGAACTAAATTTGGGGAATACAGACAATAGAGAAATTCCTTTTTAACTGACATACTAGCTGACTATACACATTTTTGTTTTCTGTAAGAATACCATTTTAGTTTTCTTAAGGTTATATTTATTTGCCAGAAGTCCTGAGAAAGGTTCTTGCTTTGCTAAGGCTACTATCTAGTGGTTTGAAAGTGGAATGGTAGATTTTATAGCAAAGGAAATTGGTGGTAGAGTGATGCAAATAAGTGAGAGTAGTTTTATTGTATTCTGGTTTGATGTGATATATTTGCCATTATATATGCTCAATTAGAAGGCAGTTTTACCCATGAGAATATCCCCCCTCCAAATTCTTCTGCCAACTGAAATAAAAGATTTTAAAGATACGCCTGACACATTAAAATTTATATGCTTAATCATTTAGTTACATGAACCATTGTATTAGATATAGAATTTAGAAATAAAGTTGCTTTGTTTACCATCTCATGATAAAATAATTTTGTTCAGTCTCATTGTATATATTGGGATCCCTTTGGGGTAATCTGTCTTCCTAACGCAGTTGTTCAGGTGACAGCTACTAGGGATGAGTGTTTTCATAAGTCTTCAAATATAAGGTGACTGCATTTTTTCTGAAAAGTAATATTTTGGGGATAAAACCCTCATATCTGAACATACAATAAATACCTTATGCCTTTATTTTACATTGATATTTAGAAGTATTTCTCAATTTTAAGTAGTCAGTCTTGAGTGAGATTATTATTAAATATCAGAGTTTTTAGTTGTTAATGTGATTTTTGTCTTTTTTTTTTCTTTAAGGGGTTGGACATAATTGCCTTATTTCATTTCAGGGATCCTTCTAAAGTAAATATTCTGGTACCTGGTGCTGGACTAGGAAGACTGGCCTGGGAAATAGCTATGCTAGGTTATGCTTGTCAAGGAAATGAATGGAGTTTTTTTATGCTCTTTTCTTCCAACTTTGTACTCAACAGGTATTTAATTTACTTTTTGCTAGAAATAGTAGTATCTCAGAATCAGATTGACTTACCTATTTTTGAACAATTCTGAATTTGAAGATAAGCACATAGTGTTTAATTATGATATTTATCATAAATGCTTCTTATATTAAATTACTTATACAATTGTCACTTTAATCAGTTTCCTAGTTAACAGAAATTTGATGAGGATGGATTAGCGACTTTAGAAAGTGACTTGGCCTTCCACAAAACTGAAATGATTTCTGTGTGAATTTCAGGACCAAGTATGATCCAGGAAGGAGTATTTTCTCATTGTTCCTTAAACTTCTTCACTCTTTTGTTTCTTCGGTGGAGTAAGAGTGCAGTATAGTGATCATATCTTTTTTCTTAATCAAATTCTTATTAAATGGCCAAGTAAGCTCACATGATTGAGTTGGAAAGATCTCTCAGAACTTCTGTGGCCTCTTAGTAAGTAGTTATTATTTGTTATTATAAAGTCAGAAGAGTTGTTATTTTTAAAGCCAGAAGAGGTGTGTTAGAGAAAAAGTAAATAGCTGTCTGTTTAAATGATATGTTGTTTTGGTAGCAGTATGTGTTAGGAGGTGATAATAAGGTAAAAAGGAGAAGGTTGTACAAAATAATTAAAATAGGTATCAAAACCTGTAACACTTTTTGAAAAAGTACTTGGACTGGTTTTTACTTGATTTTGAAGTTTGGAAGTACATTTTTAAAACGGAATGAACAACATATTTATATCTCAGAATTTAATTTTTTTCTGTCTTTTCATTCATGATTCATCTGCATGTATATGTGCTTTTTTAGATGGTTGGGGAGTAGTAATACTTTTTAAGTATATAAGTAAACCTTTAATCAAAAGAATATTTTAGTGTTGAAAGTAGATTTTCTTGGTAAAATAGTTAACACTGAATCTTATGCTCATATTTTGCAGATGTTCTGAAATTAATAAATATAAGCTTTACCCCTGGATCCATCAGTTTAGCAATAACAGGAGGTCAGCTGATCAGATTCGACCCATCTTTTTCCCTGATGTTGACCCCCACAGCCTTCCTCCTGGTTCTAACTTTTCTATGACAGCAGGAGATTTTCAGGAGATATACTCAGAATGCAGTAAGTTTAAAGCATGCATTTTAAAGGTTTTATTCTTCTAAATTTAATGAGCTAATTGTATACTAAGCTAAAGTTTTGGTCATTCATTTTGATGGTAGAATATAAGGTATACTTTAGTAACAATTTAGAATATTTTAAAGGTTGTGTATAAGGCAATGATGGGAAATATAAAGAAGTGTAAGATCCCACAGTTAAGCAATTTAGAATCTGTTAGGTCTATTAATAGAAGACAACATATAAACAAGTTCAGTTGAATAATGAATGTAATAAAGATGGAAGTAGGTTAGTGTGAGAAGGGATTCCTCTTTGGAGAGGCTGTGACATAAGGATGAGAGGAATGGCATTCCAGGCCAGTAGAGGTACATAGATACGAATGAATAAGGGAACTGGGGATGGTAGAACAGCTTCACCGGAAGGCAAAGGGAGGTTTATTTGGAGATTTAATGAGAGACATGGTTCCAGAAGTAAGTTGGTCCCAGATTGTGGAGGACCTTTATAATCAGGCTCTGAAGTTTAGGCTTCAGCCTGGCCAACTTATGAAGAAATTTATGCTAGGCATTAGAGAAACAGATGTACATGGTAAAGAGGGAGACAGGAGGGGGGTTGTCAGTGAAAAGAAGAATGAAATGCTGAGGGGTCAGCAAATCATTCATTTAACAAATATTTGTTGAGCACTTGCTAAGTGGCAGATATGTTCTAGGCACTGGAAAGAGAGCAGTGAGCAAAAAGTCCTGTACACAGGGAACTTTTATATTCTTATAGGGAGAGGGACACAGGGTGATGAGGGACTAGGGAGGGGTTGCTGGGTTTTTGTTGTTTTTGTTTAATATTTTTATTTTTTAGAGAGAGGAAGGGAGAATGGGGAGAGAGAGAAATATCAATGAGAGAGAGTCATTGATTGGTTTCCTCTTGTACGTCCCCTACCAGGGATCAAGCCTGCAGCCTGGGCATGTGCCCTGACTGGGAATTGAACCTGCAACCTTTTGGTGCACAGGATGATGCCCAACCAATTGAGCCACACTGGCCAGGGCAGGCTGCTGTTTTATATAGTTATCAGGGAAGGTCTTTCTAAGAACAGAACTTAAAAAGAAAGTGTGTGAATATAGTCTTTCTGAAACCTTTTGAAATTGGTAGTTAACATTGGTTGAAAGAAATCACAATTTAAAATCCAAATGACTATTATTTTGTCTGCACTGATTTTAAATGAAGGCAGTTGAATAAATTATAAGCAAAACATGTCATTTGGTAAAGATATATAGTGATATAGGTCATCAAAAATTATTCCCAGCCCAGCCAGTCATGGCTCAGCGTTTGAGCATCGACCTAGGATCCAGACAATCGGGGTTCGATTCCCAGTCAGGGTACATGCCCGCGTTGCAGGCTGGGCAGCTGATCAATGACTCTTTCATCGTTGATGTTTCTATCTATCTCTCTTATTTCCTCTCTCTGAAATCAATAAAGATGTATTTAAAAAAAAAAATTATTCCCAAATTGATTATCAAATTATTAATTAAATCTTTTGTGAATTGCAAAGTTTATCTCATAAATGATTATTTGTTTGCCTTGATCATAGTAGTTGATGGGAAGAGGTTAGCTTCTATAGCCCTGCAGTTAATGAAATATTAATATTCTGTTAAGAGGTAACTGGTACATTTATGGAATTAGTTAAAAGTCAAAATAAAATGACAAATGTAGTAATTTGATTTTCCTTGAATAGATACCTGGGACTGTATTGCTACCTGTTTCTTCATAGACACAGCTCACAATGTAATTGATTATATTGACACAATATGGAAAATCCTCAAGCCAGGTGGAATTTGGATAAATCTAGGTAAGTTCCTCAGTATTTATCAGGATTTTACACATTAACCTAGTAGTTATAATTATCCTACGTTTGGTAACTTCATAGTACCAAGTGTTCACAAAAGTTATAATTGTGTTGTATATGTTTTAAAACCTCTGGATTTTCCTTTAGACTGCTTCCTACTTAATGGTACAGTTCCTCCAATCCTAGCTAATTCCTCCATAAGTAGTGGAAGCCCCTAAGTTGTGCATTTACACCAGGTCAGTTTCATAGCATTCATCATTTCAGAGAGTACTGGTTATTCATTTGATGATCATCTTACCTCATCTTCCCCACTCTTCACTTTATGGAGACAACAGTCCTGTTCTTTCTGTAATGAAACATTTGAGGGCAAGCACTTACTCTCCCTTGGAAACCTTCTCCCAGTGCATATACATACTGGGAAAAGAGGAGATGTGATAACTTTTGTGACTACCTTGAGTTTAAGAAAGAACAGAAATATAGTTTCACATATGCAGAAAACTTCCTGCATTCTGACACTGGGTGCTGGAAATCAAATGATGAGTGTGACGTGGTCCCTCCCATGTAGATTATAAGGGAAACTGCCAGTTTTACCCTTTCTTTTTAAAAAAATTCCTTTTCTTTAAAATAAATGGGAGAAAAATAATATTATCAAGGTAAAGATAATTATCTTTTTTAGTGAAACACATAATCAGTGTTAAGAAGGACATGAGGGTTAATATACTACTTGAACGTCAGATACACGTTGTTTGAGTCCTTAGCCTTCAGGATTGGTTTGGTTTTGTTGGTGGGTTCTGTCACCTGTTCTTTTTTAATGATTTGACTTTACCAGAGGTTTTGCCAGTAGGATTAAGCCTACAGGTAGTAGGCCTTTTCCAAACTTCTCTTTAGAATGCCATAGGACAGATGAGAGCAGCTGGCTGTACGATGTAATCATAATATGAAACAAGTATCTCAAACCTTGGGTCTTCTTTAAAAGAAAAGTATTTCTTTCCCCAAGAATGACTGAAAGAAGACATTACCTACTGGGTAATTTGCTCACTGTGTGTTAAGCATTGTGTTAGCCACTTATAAATACCTTGTTTAATCTCAAAACAGTTCTATGTTGAAATGGCGTTATTGCTATTTTATAGTTGAAGATACTGAGTTGTGGGTTAAATATCTAGAAAAAAGGTACTGGAGAATCAGGCTTACAGCCTAGATCCAACTCCTTGAATGCTAACCAGCTATCTCTGCAGGCTTGTGCTGGGTCAGTTTATCCTTAGCATTAATCTTAACTGCATATGTATGTGATTAAAATTTTTGATCCCATTTACTGAGTTATGGTAAGGTTTTGTATATTTCCAAAGCATTTGACTTAACTTTCATAGAAATAACTTTTCCTTTTGAACATTTATTTTAGTGGTTCATTAATATTTTATTGTTCATAAAAATAATAATTGTAACTGCCTGGGACAAATAAAATTTGTCCTTGGTAAGCATACTGTTTGATAAGAATAGATGTGCTGGGGCAAGGTGTGATTTGTCTTGAGCATCAGAGATAATGGGGCATGTTGATTAATGAAAGATCAAGGGCATCCACTCTTCTTACCACAGAATTTCTCAAACAATTTTGAGAATTGGAATAATGGAAAACAGCCCTTAAACGCAGTTATTTGGAAGGTTAATACTTTGCAAATAACATTCTTTCCTTGTGTAAGTTAAAGAATTTAAAAGAAGAATATCTGAGTCAATTTTCCTTAAATATCAGTATGCTCCAGGTATCTATTCAGTGTTTTTCACCTTTTATGCCATGCACTCATCTCTTACTTTGTATTAGGGATTACTCCTACTTAATCCCATTGCATCTTTTACTGTTTGAATTCCCAGTATGAATCAGGTCCAAATCTCTCTCTCACGCTCCAAGCCCTTGTGTCCAAATTGGATGCACCACAAATACTTCCAAATCTGTGTGTGTCAAGAAAATGATGCCTGTACTTACCATCTGTACCCATTTAGTCTACAAATTGTATCTCCTAAAACTCCTTAATAGCCCTTGAATTTCTTTGTCTCCCAGGGTTTCTCAGTTGCGGCACTAGTGACATTTGGGGGTGGATCATTCTTCATTTGAGGGTGGGAAGGATTGTTCTGAACACTGTAGGATGGTTAGCAGCATCTCGGGCTTCTACCTAGCAGATTTCAGTAATACTTTCCCAGTTTTGAAATCCAAAAATGCCAGTTGAGAACCATTGCTCTAACCTCATGCTAGTACTTGAGTCCAGGCCCTCATCATTGCTTGCCTGCATTACTGCAGTAGTTTCCTTCAAGTTATCTCCAACCTTCCTTGCCCCTTCCAGTGCTCCATATTACCAGCAGACTGATCTTTACAATATGTAAATCCATTTCTGTCAGACTCCCTGCATAAAAGCATAGCTTTTTTGCTCTGTCTGGTGTGGCTCAGTTGGTTAAGGGTCATCTTGTGCACTGAAAGGTTGCAGGTTTGATTCCTGGTCAGGGTACATGTGTGGGAGGTGGCAGATTGATGTTTCTCACTCACATCAATGTTTCTCTCCCTTTCTCTCTCTAAAAAAAATCAATAAAAACATATTCCTAAAAAAAGCCTAGCTTTCTTGGAAACCTAAATTCTTCAGTGCCCTTTGTAATCTTTCTTCTGTCTTGTGTCTTGGCTGTATTATTTTTTAATTCAGGTATAATTGGCATACAACATTATATTAGTTTCAGGTGTACAACATGATTCAATATTTGTATATATTTTGAAATAAAGTCTAGTTAACATTTGTTACCATACATATGGTAATGAGGACTTTTTTTGTGTAATGAGGACTTTTAAGATTTATTCTCTTAGCAACTTCCAACTATGCATATTAACTATAGTCACCATGCTGTACATTACATCCTCATGACTTATTTTATAACTGGAAGTTTGTACCTTTTGAGTCTGTCCATTTTGCCAGCCCCCACCTCTGGCAACCACCAGTCTGTTCTCTGTGTTTTGTGAGCTTATTTCTTTGTTGTTTGCTTTTTTTTAAGATTCCACAGATAGCATGATCATATGGTATTTGTCTTTCTCTTTCTGACTTACTTCACTTTGCATAATACTCACAAAGTCCATCCATGTTGTCACCAGTGGCAAGATTTCATTCTCTTTTATGGCTGAATAATATCCCATTGTATATACAGCATATACTGTGACTTTTTTTATCCACTCATCCATCAGTGAACACTTAGGTTGTTTCCATATCTTGGCTCTTGTAAATAATGCTGCAGTGAACATGGGGGTGGGGGTGCATATATCTTTTTGAGTTAGTGTTTTTGTTTTCTTTGGATTAATAACCCAGAAATGGAGTTGCTGGATCATATGGTAGTTCTATTTTTAATATTTTGAGGAAACTTCATACTGTATTCCATAGTGGCTGCACCAATTTACATTCCCACCAGCAGTGCACAATACAAGGGTTCCCTTTTCTCCATATCCTTGCCAACCCTGTTATCTCTTGTCTTTTGGTAATAGCCATTCTAACAGGTATATCTCGTTGGGTTTTGATTTGTATTTCCCTGATAGTAATATAGAGCATCTTTTCATGTATTGGCTTCAGTTTTTTATTTTTTACCACCCCTGTCCTGACCTCAAGTGCACTCCTGTCACCCAGAAAGTCCTTTCTTTTCCCCCTTCTATTTTCAGTTAGTTTATGTGTTCTTTAACACTCAGCTCAGGTGATCCTTTCTTTTCAGGCTGAGTTAAACATTCTGCATTTCTCTTTTACATTCTCATAGGATCTGTCAGTAGCATTTAACATATTGTGGTATTGTCACCCATATATTTTTGTTTTCCGTACTATTTTCTAAGCTTAATGAGGGCAGAGCCTGACATCTAATAGATATTTAGTGACTTACGTGTATAAATGAATGTATTGTTTTGAAATTTGAAAGAGGGAACAAAATAATGATAAGATGTCACAGAAGATTGACTGGCTTCCAAGAGACATGATAAAGTGGCATTTATATTGGTAAACTTAAAACATTTCTATGGTTTTGGCTTTCATCACATAAATCTGGAAAATTATTTTTTTCTGTAAACTGATGGAGCATCAGCCCCATGGGGATGATTTCACCCTAACCAGACTTACATAGACCAGAATGTCAATATATTCATATATAATGAGAAATTAACTGCTGTCCATTATAGAATACTAAAAAGTTACATTGGAAATTAAGTTATAATGAAAATATTGCCCAGATTGTATGAAATCAGAGTTGTGAATATTAACTTATAAAATGCTTTAAGGGAGCCCAGCTGGCATGGCTCAGTGGTTGAGCATCGACCCATGAACCGGGAGTTCATGGTTCAATTCCCCATCAGGGCACATGCCTGGGTTGTGGGTTCAGTCCCTGGTAGGGGGCATATAGGAGGTAGCCAATTGATGTTCCACTCTCACATTGATGTTTCTCTCTCCCTTCCTCTCTAAAAATCAATAAAAATATTTAAGGAAAAAAACACAGTGCTAATTATATGAAAAGTAATCAGTGAGCAGTGTAACATTTGCATTAAATGAGGTTTAAAGTATCCTGTATTAAGGGAATAAGCAGTAGGGCTGGAAACAGATGGATTATATTAAAACTTGATTTCAGCAAGGTTTTGGAACATGGCTAAAGCTTGAATTGGAGAGTTGGAGCTTTCTAGGTAGAACATAGCATGAGTAGAAGTAAAATATGGCCTGAGTATGTAAGAATCTTTGGAATGCTTTCATGTGGATATAGTGAAACAATATTGTTGGAGGCTTTTAAAATAAGAGAGCAGGAACAGCATATGCTTTAAAGCTGGAAAGACTGCCATGAGGCTCTACATTCTTATAAAAAGGCTTCAAAGGTTTCCCGGTGGCCTAGAATACAGCAGGTGCTCAGTAAATGGCTACTACTGCCATTTTTACTAGTACTAATAAAACTAACAGGAATTTAAGCTTGACAGAGTATTTTGATAGGGAAACACTGTTATATTTTGAAAAGAGCACTAATATATAAACTATATTTAGTCATTTTTTTCTAGTGATTTATATAGGATAAAAAAGAGGGGAGATAAATAAACCCTTTTTAACCCTAAGTATGTTCCAGAGTGGTGAACCTTTAGGAGCAGAAACCTTGTTCTGTTTGTTACATTTATCTTTGATGATTAGCACATTGTGTGATGAGTGAGAAAGGAGTGGGGACTGTGAGTTGGTCACGGATTTATAAATAACCCAGTGAAAGGTAAGGAGAAGATTGTCTAGATTAGTTCTGAAGTATAACTGTAGAATGATAATGTTGCCTGGATGAGGCTGATGGGTTGGGGGAAATGTGACAGATTAAAAGATTGGAAAATTGGTTTCAGTCACATGATGGTTTTTATTTATTTATTTGTTTGTTTCTTGGATATATAGAATGAGAGAATAGAAAAGGAGACTGTCATCTTAAAAAGGTTGTTACAGCTATCGTTTACTTAGTGCCTTCTATATGCCTGATTTGTTATGTGTTATCTCACATTAAAGTCATGTTACAGATGGGGCGGGCAGAATTAGTGGCTTGCCAACAGGAACATAATCAGGAGGTGTTAGAGCTTAGGATATGAGCTGTGTGTTTAAAAAATGACACACCCTAGTGTCATCTCTTCATTCCAGGCTGCCCTGCCTCTAACTCTCCTCACTACCCCTCATCCCCAGCCACCTGCTGGCTTGAGGACCCTTCTGTTTTCACGTGATAACCAGTTTGTAGCTTTCCTTTTGCATTTACGTATGGAATTATAATTGCAGTATATCTTTGGAATTTGGGGACTTAGCATTCACTCAAGAGTTACATGCATGAGGTCCATGAAGTGGAGAATCACAGTACAAGGCTAGTGTACCAGAGGCTCCCACTCCCATGAATATAGGCCCAGCACTTGAATGTCAGTTACTGGGCCAAAGTTTCAGGGGTCTGGGTATGTGTCTTTGGCAAATGTAAATGTTCTTTACTTCTCCTTTTTATCCACTACCCAACTTATTCAACTTGGAGTTCAGTCTAACATAGTTACTAGTGCATGTTTATATTCAAGTAATTCATTTATAGTATCTTTAAACCATAGGTCCTCTGCTATACCACTTTGAAAATTTAGCGAATGAACTTTCCATAGAATTGAGTTACGAGGATCTAAAAAATGTTGTTCTGCAGTATGGATTCCAGCTAGAGGTAAGGATGGAATAAAGTATTGCCAAAGCTTAATTTCCAAAGGACTTACTCAGAAATGGTGATATTATGGCATTTACTGGCTTTACCTCTTAACCTCTCTGTTTCTCATCCATAAAGTAAATAGTTTTTAGAATTATGAGGATTTGGGATAATGTGTATGTAAATGGAAAACTATATCCCTGGTATAATCACCTTTCAGTAGATTGTTGCTTGACCATTATCATAATAATGACCTTTGTAGACTGTTAGTTACCAAGTAGACTAGACTCTGGGGAAGCAAATGGGGAATGGGAGGGCAGGTGCAAGAGGGGTATTGTTTACTATATGTGCTTCTGTACTGTCCAGTCTTCTTTTATTATGTGCATTATTATACAGTTTTATGATACTTTGACTATTGTGTTTTACTATATGTTTATTTAGAAACATTCCATTCATATAAAAAATAACAGATTAGTTCTTAAAGATAAAGAGAAGCAATATATTGTAGTAGCTTAGTAGTTCTGCAGTTATACTGCCTGAGTGTGAACCCCAGTTCTACCACTTATTAGCAGTGTGACTTTGAATAACCTCTCTTTGTAAAGTAGGATTACTAATAGTACCAATCTTATGGTAGTACTTGAATGTAATAAGTACATTAATATCTAGAATATATGTAAAATAGCACCTGCCACTTAAAAGTGCTCAATATTTGTTAGTGTTATCATCATGGTGGCCATCATCATCATTATGATTGTTTGCATTGCAGGTGGAAAAAGAATCTGTCCTGTCAACATACACTGTGAATGATCTCTCCATGATGAAATACTACTATGAATGTGTCTTGTTTGTGGTCCGTAAACCACAATAATGGTCTCAAGTGATATCACCAGGAAAAGTATTTAGTAAGAGCAAATCCTGAAATAAACAGCCCCAAATCAACTATCAAATGACAGGACACAACCTCAAATCAGTGGTGCCTTCTTATTCCTAACAAAGTTTAGAAATAGTGTCTATTTTCTTAATATGTCTATCGCTTTTTCAGAAATATACTATGCCATGCATATTTGTACTATACAAGTAAAAACAGGAAACGTCTTCGAGTTTACTTTTTCCTTGAAGCCCAGAATTGTCTTTCAGTAGAAAACACTTGATCTCTAGTGTCTTCATGAAGTTGTCCATTCCAAGTCTGCCATGCAAATGACTAATAGTATTGAGGTTCATAATAATCTCCTTTTTTGTTTTGTATGCATTGCACATGTTATTTTTAGAAGAGTCTAAGGATCCTCTCATATTCAACATCTGGAATTGAGACTTTTATTCACTTGGACCTAAGCAATCTATACATCAAATGTGTGTCTATTCTTTTATTATTCAAATAACTTTTTTCTTAGCTGAACTTAGGGAAGCATCAAACCTTTCATTTTTATGAAATATTAAATTTAATAGTATCATAGGCCAGTAAAAATGCATTCAAGTAACCAAGAAATTAGTAAGTCTTTCGGCCACACTAAACTGAACACTTGAAAGCATACTCATCATGGATCACTCTGAAATGTATGAAGATCTCAACAATCTAAGTGAGTCACAAAAACTGTTATTAAAGGTACTGTTAGGAAACTGGGGAAATAAGAATAAATTCTGCCCATTTGAAATGTATGATTTCAAACTATAAATGAATACAGTCTGTCATGAGATGTTTACAATAATGTCTTTTCTTTAGATTACCTGGCTACAAAAGCAAGCACTTTTTTTCATTAAAACAACTATATACTAGTAAAAATTATGATAGTATTAATGTGAATATGAAATTCAGGGATAAATTACTGCCCGTGGTCTGTGTCTTCAATATTGTAAACAGCCATTAATATAATTTCAGATTAACACCAATTTTGTTCCTGGTAGCTGGGGCTAAAACAGTATATGCTGTTTTAAATTTCTACCTCTAGCAGATCTTTATTGGAGGGAGTTTTCCTTTGTATTTTTTTTATGTTATTCTGTTTCCCATAGCTTGGAAAGTAGAGATGACAAATAGAATGTTTTAACCTTTTCTTGAAGAAAAGGAAGTACGCTTGAATATTTTCACAGGTGATTGATGGCATTAAGAGACCTCTGTGGCAATTTGGATTAGACTTAATCTCAATAATGTGCTGGTAACATAAATGTCATGTTTTAAGGGAAAACTTACTTGTAAGTCTTTAAACATTTATGGTCATTTGGGTTGGGGGAGTCACTGCACAATTTGGCATCTTACTAATAGAAGCTTTTCTGCATATAGTAAGGGAACTCTTGAGCCCTTCATGCAGTGAAGGGATTCATGAAGCTAATTTGACTTGTCAATTTATGGAAGCCTATAACCTGTTGAATTTGTTTGGGTTTTTTAAATGATTTCTCTTTTTTGTGTCCCTCAGTACTTGGCAGATGTTCTTTTAGTAGGAATTCTCATTTTCTACCACATGAATAAACTTGAAATAAATTGCTCCCCCAAATTATTATTTTTAAGAAAAAGACTTAAAAGGAACCTAGGTATTTAAAAAAATCTACCAAAAGAAATGCATGCTGTTTTTGAATAATTTAGAAAAGTTTTTTAATCACTGACTAGTATTCACTTTTTTATAACATGTATTGAAACATGGTCTTGTTCTTTTCAGAGGCAAAAACAGGTTGACACTTATGGGTTGGCTTTATTAAAAGTTCTGCTATCAGGTTTTATTCTTTAATAATGTTACTTTTATTTATAAATTACACCTTACATTTTAGTTAATTCTGAAATGTGTTGTTTTTAATTTCTCCCTCATATTATGAATACTTTAAATGTTCTACACAAATTTGCATTGCTTTTTTTCCTCTTACAGCTTTTGCAGTTAATATATTCTGAACTTGAAAATTGTATTAATCACTGGAGGATTTAATTTTGTATTTCATATGTATAGTCCTACTATGGTGTGTAAGCCTTAAAAGTTTCTTACTTTTTTCCTTAAATTAGCTCTATACACAAATGTTTCCATTCATTTTCATAAAGCTGGAGAAGATACGTCATTCTGCTTGCTGGGTTTGTTTTTGTTTTTTTCCATAATCTGAAGTTGTGCAGGTTAGGGTATGTTAATCAAGTGAGCGAGGTGGATATGTAAAATATAAAAGAGAAGCTGTATAAATCACAGTATAAAATTATGAAGTTTTGGAATTATAAAATGCACTGTATTTATATGTAATTCTCATTCTAAAAGTTGCCACAAAGGCTGAGTTGGAAGCTTCATGTCTGCATGAAATTTCCTATATTTTTAATGTGTATGATGGACTTGATTTTTCTTGAATATTAAAGTCTGCCAATTGCTATGAAACAATATTTGCTTGGTTGTTTCTATCTAAATTAGTGATAACCGTAGACATGGGAATTTTAATTGAGCACATATACCTTGGAACCCTTGGATTAGCTTCTATATGCTTCTAGAAAGTCTATACATGATACTTGTTCTTCGAGTATGCTACACCTTACCCTAATTAATCCTGATCTTTGGGCTTGTTAAATAATAGAAAATGAACTATAAAGGAAAAGAAGAAAGTTCCAGGGCCAGCCGTTAGTAGGACGAGCACTGGATTCAGCCCTGAAGATACTCTGGGATCATTTTCCTGAACTACTGTTTGTGGTCTCGGGCAAGGTGCTCTGAGTTTGTTCCCTCATCTGTAAAAGAGGATTGCTACCACCTATTTCAAAGGGTTTTTAATGAGGTCATGAGTTATATGTAAAACATTATATATTAAGATGTGAAAGCACATCGTAGACAAATATAATTTCAATCTGTTGACTGCTGTGTAGTGATAGAAAAAGACGATTGGTAACAGGACATTAGTTTTAATGTTACGGTGACCTTTTGAAAAAAGTTTCAGTAGAATCCTGGGGGGGTGGGGGGAGTCAAAGTTGGCATGTATAGTTTTAGATTCCAAAAGTTTGGTGGAAATTACAAAGAAATTATGATAGGTAATGGGAGAGAGGACATACATGAAATTTAATAGAGGGTTACTCTCACTTTGCAAACACGCTAGTATATGCCTCGTACATATGTTTGGTGATTTCTCTTTAGCAGCTGTTTAGAAGTGGAATCATTCAGTCACTGTCTATGTGCATTTTCAGTCAGGTTGCCTTTCAAAAAGACTACCAATTTTTACATGCCATCAACAGTACTTGAGAATAATTTTGCATCCATTCCCTCGCCAATACTAGGCATTGCTAATCTTTTCATATTTGTGTCAATATGATAGGAAAAAGTGGTATCTAATTTTAATATTCATTTCTTTAACCATTAGGGAAGTTGAGCAATTTATGTAAGATTAATGGCCAAGGAGAGGTGCCCTTAATCTGTCAGTCTTTCTTTTCACATGGCAGCCACACAAGCCATTGGCAAAAATGGAACAGTTAGTAAAAATGTAGTGCGGTTGGTCAAGGGGAGAATTAACCATGAGGACCACTTTGAGTTCTAGCCACTGAGAGGAGTGGCCCCATCTGCTTTTGGTTCTACATAGCTGGTACTGAGTCTGAACAGTGATGGCAGCCCATTGGACCCCACTAGGTTTCCATTTAGCCAATCGGTGATCTCGGCCCAGAAGTTTAGGGGACTGTCAGTGAGTCAAGAGCCCCATTGAGCCAGCAGCTTTGGTGTAGGTGGCAGAGTGGGGCATAAAGTTTACCCCCAAAGGATTAGTTCCACTTTTTCATAGCACCAAAAAGTTGCTAGGGTCAGGTCCACCACATTCTTGAATATGCTATTTCAGTTGGACTTGCAAGGCTTGTTGGCTCCTTTTCACCTTGTGTAGGCATCAAGTCCAATTGACCCACCCCCAAATGGGGATGTCAGACTAGTCACAAGTTTGACATCCATGAGTCATGCACCCAGTTTCAACAAAAGTTGGTTAATAGTTGCCTTTGGTACAAAGGTGTATTTGGTGACAGCATGAGGCAGTTGGTGTTACTGGAATATCTGGCCATGGCCTGAGTATTTTTGTAGCCATTAAGTCTCTGAAGCTTTGGTTTCCCTGGACCACCCAGGAGGGGACAGTCCATGCAGTAGTCCTTGAATATGACACTCATGGGAAGGAGAAGTACAGGCATTTATCAACTCCATTATATGTATATGACTTATAATTTCCGGTGTGTGGTGCTTTAAGAATATTTCCACAAATTCTCCCTTTTGGACAGTAATTCCTCTTCCCTCTTGAAGTGCAGGTGGTAATGATGCCCTTCTAGTAGGAGGGAATAGACTGTGGTAGAAATGACCTAAGGCTGGGTCATAAAGATAATACTGCTTCTATTTATCTTTTGGATCACTTGTAGAAGTGAGATGACATTCAAATAGCCCTATGAGGATATTCATATAGCCCTATGGAGAATCCCACACGGTGAAGAACTAAGGCCACCTCCAAATAGTCATATGAACTGAATGTGCTTGGAAGTAGGTCTTCCAGCCCCAGGCAAGCCTTTGGATGACTAAAGCCCCAACCAAAATTTTGACTGCAATCACATGGGCAACTCTGAACCAGCTAGCTAAGCTGATGAATTCCTGATCCACAGACTCAGAAAATGTTTTAAGCCACTAAGTTTTGGGGTAATTTGTTATACAACACTGTTTCTTGTGTGCATCCAAGTTTCCATCTGGTTTCATACTTGCACCTGAAGAACTTTGATATTTCTTGTATTATAGGTCTTAAGACAGTGAATTCTCTCAGCTTTTGTTTATCTGAAAAAGCCTGTATTTCACCTTTATTTTGAAGGATTTATTCCACAGAGTACAGAATTCTGGGCTGACTATTTCTTTTAAAGATGTCACTCCATTGTCCTGATGAGTACTCTGATGAGAGCTGTAATTCTTATTCTATCCTTAATGTGTTTCCTTTTTCTCTGGCTGCTTTCAGGATTTTATATTTAATTTTCAGTATGTATCTAGATGTGTGACTTTTGGAATTTACCCTGTTTGTTGGGTCTATGGTTTGGCATTTCTAAAAAGTTCTTTGCTATTACCTTTTCAAATATTTCTTCTGCCCTGTTCTCTCTTGCTTCTCCTGGGACTTTCGTTACACATACATTAGATTAGTCATTATAGTCCCACTACTCCTGGGTGCTCTGTTCTGGTGGTTTCTAGTTGTTTTTGTTTTTCACTCATTTTCCTCCCCTCTTGGTGTTTCAGACTGAGTAGTTCCTTTTTTACCTATCTTCAAGTTCCTTAAAACTCGCATCTGTGTCCCTTCTATTAATGAACCTGTTGAAAACATTTTCATGTTATCATGCTTTTTATTTCTTGCATTTCCATTTATCTTATTTTATAGTTCTAATCTCTGCTGAAATGCCCCATGTCAATGCATATTGTTCACTTTTTCTATTATATCCTTTAATGTTACAGGAATTTTAGTCCCTGAGAAAAACCCAATATCTGGGTCACCTCTGAGTCTAGTTCTGTTCGATTTTTCTCTTTACAGGTTTTTTTCCTCTTGCTCTTTTCCCTGACTCATTGAATTCCACTTACTGTGTAGAAAAAACCAACTTGAGGTAAATAATATTTATTCCTGGGTATGAATGTATGCCTCTTGGGTCAGTATGGGAGATTGAATCAATCTTGCAAAACGGAGTCAGGTCTGCGTTTTGTTGTTACTTGCAGAGCATCAGGCTTCCTGTTTCAGCAGCAGTGCGCTCTGGCTACCTGTGCATAGAATGAGTAACAGGATGCCAGTGGGTGTTTTCCCCCGTTGTTCCTGTTCCACCTCCAGCATTCTTGTGTTCTGCATGCCGTAGCCACAGTGGAATTCTCGCTTCATGCTCCCGTCTCCCCCAGGGGAAAACTGTTTCTTGTTAGTCTGTGGTAGGCTCATGACAGGGCCATGGGCGTTGTCTCAGTCCAGCCTTCATGCACCTGGACCTCATAAGTGGGCCCGTCGGCATTCTCACCCTCCTCCCCATGTATCTGTGGTTGGTCTTATGCAGGAATTTCCTGCTCCTCCGGTAGTAGTATCAATGAAGGATACTAGGCACCAAATTATCATCCGCTCCTCTTCCCCAAAAGCAGATTTTTGCTTCTGGTTTTCCTCCAGGGATCTTGTTCTTAACCTGGGGATGAGATGGTTTCCTGCCCCAGCCCCAAGGTAGGGTTGGGTTTGCTGCTACTCCTCCCCCGCAAGCAATGCCTGTCCCTGGGAGAGTTTGCTGACCCTCCATCAACACCTTATGGATTTGCTTCCAGCAGAGAATAATCCAGGGAAACGTGGGCTTTTATGCCTGTCCTGGGAGCAGCAGCTGTCCTGTACATCTGCGTCTTCCACGGGGCTCTCTCCAGTCTCTCGTTCTGCCCCAAGTCTTTCCCCTGAGCACCCAATGGAAGACAATGAAAAATGAGTGCAAACATCCCTTATATCAGGGACTCCCAGCTATTCCAAATTGAGATGCTAACCCACAATTACCAAGAATGTAAAACTTTTTCAGATTTATTTGCAGCTTATAAAGCAGCCACTTCTCTATACTCTGCCAAATGTGAAAAAGTCATGTGTTCCATCTCTTTGGAGAGGCTTGTCCCTCCAGAATTCAGCTTACTGAACTGCTTTGCACCATCAGTTCTGATAGGCTTAAGGAAAAATATATGACATTTAGACTACAAAGAAGCACAAAACAAGGAAAAATTGTAGTTGTTACCAAGCCAGCTACTGCGTTCACAAAGAGATATACTCACTTGGCTACATGGGGACATCTCTGGACAGCTAGAAAGAAACACTCTGTCTAAAAATAGTCCAGGAGAAGGAGAGAGGGTGTGAAAATGTATCTCTTTGTCACAGTTTGCTCCAGAAGAGCTAGTTCCCTGTGCTTCAAGATTCTGCCATCTGGCTCAAACTGCTGGTGAGGCCAGGACCCATGTCTGTGTGGCATTTAATTTGAGGCGTTAGTCTGCCAGTTTCAGGAATAGAAGCATAAGACACAAACCTCTTACAGGAAAGTTAAAGGACAGTCTATTACTCATAGCAATAGCAGTAGCCAAAGTATTAAATTTGAACCAGTTTCCTGTAGCCCAGTCTCACAGAGTGACACAGAGTGCTAGTGATGCCTACACATGCATTGGCTTGGGTTAGAGATTTCTGCATTTAGGAAGCCATAATCTTTTATGACAAACAGTGTGTATGCCTGACTCTGTCCTAGAAGAAAGTATACAGGACAGTAAACAAATCTGCCCTTCACTCCAGAGGTAGACAATGTCTGTCTTCCAAGCTGTTCACTGTAAACAATCCTTAAAAAGATCATCTGGAATAAAGGCAGCCAGAGCCTCTGCTTGTAAAATATACTGAAATGCAAAAGACCCATGGAAAATTATCT